TTCTGGAGATGATGAAGATCCTGTAGCCTGCGGTGTTCAGTGATGGAGAAATCAAGGTCTTTCTCAGGTAGAATCCTTACCGATTGCTGGTTATTCCGTATGATTTCTGCCGCTCTCTCAACACATACTACTTAAATCCACTGTAATAAGCAGCGCAACATATGTAATCAGTAGTAAACGAAATATACTACTGTAGAATATAAGTAGTTAAAAGCTATTCTCAGTGATCCTCCAGTTTAAGGCATACTATTTCATACAGTTCAGCCAACCAGATTCATTTATAATCTGTCACTTGCAATTGTTTGGCTACATAGGTAACATGGTCAGGCTTAGACGAATTAAACGGCCTTCTGATGCCTAGATCACTCTGATTTCGCTAACAGCGTCGATAGATCAACTTAAAGGCTTTCCGGTCTACTCATTTTGTTCAAGAGTAAATTTTATGATCTTGATTGAGTGATTTCTAGTGGAGATCCTGTTGATACCGTAGATGGACAGTTGAAAACAAAACTAGTTAGCTATATACTACAACTTTATCCGGTTATAATTATGATTTGATTATCTAAGATAGTCGTAGTTTGGCAGACTAGTATTTGTACTAGGTGATGATTGAAGGTGAGATGAAAATCTGGACCGCAGCTGGATTCGAACCAGCAACCACCGGGTTATCGTCTCGGTGCTCTTTCAACTGATCTACGAGGTCCGACTGTTTGGAACACATCGTTCTGTAGATTCATTCATACCCTTGACCTATCATGGGATTAGTTTCGCATATACTTGCCACACTATGAATTTTGAAATTTAACCTTCTCAACCAACTGCATATAGTATAATGCAAAGCCTGGCACTTGTTTTCCATAAATTATATTGTAGTGAGCGTCGGTGATAATAGTGGATATAAGTAGTATATGTTGAGAGGGTGGTAGAAATCATAAGGAATTACTAGCAATCGGTAAGGATTCTGCCCAGAGAAACGCAAGAGATAACTCAGGCATCTGTATATTTCAATTTGTTATTCATCGTAGACTGACATCAGTTAGAGGAACAAAGGAAATCTGGGAGCACTGGACAGACGTTCTATCCTATTACGGGACTGCTGAGTTGTGCGAAACTACGACCCCACCAGGGATCGATCCTGCGACCTTCATGCTCCGTGGCCAACACGTTACCATCAAGCCAATTAAATTGCTTGATCACAATGTACTATAATTCTGTGAAGATAAAATACCCAGTTTCTAGACGCAGAAAATGTATAAGTGATGATATTTGTTAACATACAATCAATACTGAACAGGATTGAATAAGATCTATATTTTTCACTTTTTGGATGATATAACAAAACAATTTTGAAATAGTTTAAGCAAGATTCATTCCGTCAGTATTATTTCTTAGAAAACAACACTAAAGTATACCATTAATTCATCTTTTCTAAGAATTTCATCGGTGACTTGATGCAATGTCCACATGATTGGATGAGGTATTTCAGCTTTCTTGAAAGTTCTCTTGATATATTGTATGTTGAAATTCCCGAAAGTGAAACTATTGGTCGTCGAGGGATGTCTGATTTGTGTAGTTTTGATCTGCCATAGAACTGAGGAAGGAGAGGTCCATTCGATTTCATTCTCCATTTGTCTTGCTTTATTATTTCCTGTGCTTTGAAGAGTTTGTTCAAGGTTTTATTGATCTGGTTGTCGAACTTCTAGATAGATTTGGTTTCAAGTAGTTGGATATACATTTTTGTCTTTGAGTAATTTCTCTGCCTTCTTGATGTAGTCTTCCTTGTCCATGACTACCGTGGTGTGTCCTATATCTGCTAGAAGTATAACGATATCTTCCCTATTTTTTCAGTCTTTTTAATGTTTTCTGTTTTTGAGTGTTCATTTGAGTGTGATATCTCTTCTGCCTGGTCAGTGGTACGATTGTTTGTCATATTTCTTGTCCGGTGACCTCATTTAATCCTGATGTTTTAAGTGAGGATTGTAATGCTGCAAAGAAATCTTGTCTAGAGGCATCTGTTGTCTTGTAATTCAATTCTTTTTGTTAGTGGTTGTTTTGTTATCATGACAACCAAAGTAGTAGCTAGCAGTGGAGTCCAGGATGCTCGCTTCACTCTGTTTATGACTTGTCATCCGGATGCAACTGCTTTCCAGTCAGCGATAAGGATCCCATGACGACTTAAACTAGGGACAGATTTCTACAAATGCCAGAGCGTTACCTATTATACCACCAAGTCATGACGACTGAGAAGCGCACAAAAAAACGAAACGCGTATCTTGGATTCCATCGTTAAGATACGAGACAAACACCAGCAATATCTAAGCATTCAAGCAGAAACCTATCTGCCAATAGCGATGGATCAATTCGGTCCACTTAACGACCGGGATAATACAAGCAACACCATCAGTAAATCACAACTGGTGTTTTCAGTGACTCGCGTAGAACAATCGGTAAACTATCCTTCTGCTGTACATACATGGAGGACACTTCTAATTTGTATAAAAATTATACTAATCCTGACATAATTCTCGGTACATTCTACAGTTGTCATCCAGAAATGGAGTTCACATGTGAAACAGAGAAAGATGGATGCCTGGCCTTTCTAGATGTTTTGCTATCGAGACGAACAGATGGCAGTGTCAGACCCAGTATTTATCGTAAGAAACCATCGGTTGGTCAGTATACACATTTCTAATCGTTTGTCTCTCTTACGTAGTACAAAAAGGAATTTAATCCATTCACTGAGAGTCTGAGCCAGTAAGATTCGCACAGCTGATACTCTGAACGATGAGTTAAGAATCATAGAGAACTCTTGACATGAGAACGGTTATCCTAAGTCGTTCGTAAAGACCGTAACAATGAAAACAGTTGGAGAAAAGCGCCTTCAAATGGTTCAAAGGAGATACAGCCTCAGAAACACTGACAGTGAAAGTCAGAAATCTGATACAAAAAATCTTTTCTGCCACCACATTATGTTTGAAATTTACTACTCGCTGTATGATGCTAATGTAGTTGAAGGATAAGCATCTGAATCTGTTCACATCTATGTGCATTTATAGATCTAACTGCTCCTGTGGAGATAGTTACAGTGACAGAGCTACTCAACAAACCCATTATCACTTCATTGAACACTGTCCAATGTGCTTAAGTAAAGAAACAGTGAAATCCATCAAAAGCTAAATGCCTGTCCATCTAGTAGATACTGAGCATAAGATTGATAAAACCTCAGCATTCAATATTATTTATGATGTCCTATCACAATACTGTAAGTTTGTGCGCCTTCAATTGCAAAGCATAACATAAGCCATGGCAATTAGAATTTTCAAGCTTAATTTGTGTATTCAGAAGATGTTTGTTCGTTCCCTTTCCCTCACATGGCCTCCAACTTCAACCCGGATACAATTACCATAAATTCCTTCCCTCATCACCCAGATCAATGTAAATATCATCTCTGTTTGTCCTCTTATCATTATCATTTTATTTTTCGGTCTTAGTTTCATAACTGATTAAGAATTTTAACATTTCATCAGAGTATCATTTGACTATTTGAGATAACCGGATATCGTAACTCAGTTGGTAGAGTATCGGGTGGTTGCTGGTTCGAAACCGGCAACGGTTCAGATTTTCATCTTATCTTCAATCATCATCTAATATAAAATTTTACTATCTAATCTCTATGCGACAATAATTTTATTTCCCTCTATCCTTTCACACACACAAACACAAGATTCCCTACTCATACACCTACAAGGATTGACTACTGAGAACATCAATAAACTTTCCGAGATTTTGTTTCTGTTATTATCACCTTCACTGCTGTTATCTTCTAATTCATATAACCGAATTAATATGACCATGTTGATATCAGATGAAGACTATGCTGAATAATTTGTAGATGCAAAGCTTGATGGGAATTTACCGAAAGTGTGTATTCACTTTAAACTCTATCCTCTAATGAATCTATTCTGAAAATGTCTTTGTTCCTTCATTGTTCAATCTCAGCAAGTCATTTATTTGTTAGCTTTAAACCTACTTTGAATGTACACTTACCTGGAAATAAGTGGTATTAACAACTGACCTTGTCTGTGTTGATATTGTACTGGGTGTCAGAACTAAGAGTGAAATACATAACTCACTTCTCATGAACAGTATGATGTCATGTTAGAAGATTCAAGTGAAGTGAGAATTAGTTGGCAGTGTAATCGGTGTATGTTTGTCATTTATGTCTCTTCTGTGACACATAGCGACTGATGTTTTTGACTAAGTCCTCTAAACGTACATCGCACTGTTTGGTAAGGGTTTGAATTCAGCAGTGAAGAGTTTTTTCTATCAGAGGAGAGTCGAATATCTGACTGATAGGTAACAGTAGGCTGCAGAATGTATGGCGAAAATTGTGTTTTGTATCTTTGCACTAATGACAACTTGTTTTCTGACCAATGTTAATGTCCGGTTTAGTGTTATGTCCGCTACATATCACTCAAGACTGAAGTCAGATAGATCATACTGCAATCCGTCACCAATGAATCTTTTACAATACTTGTCTGTATCTGGATCATGTTATTTATCCTACACCACATGAGTAACGCAGAAGTTAGATGTAGAGTTTTGGAGAGAAGTGTCAAATCAGTTGACACGGCTGTGAACTTTCATCGACTGAGATGGTTGTGACACGTTACGACTCAAATTAGGGATGGATCTCTGCAAATGCCAGAGCATTACCTACTATACCGCCGAGTCACGATGGCTGAGAAGCCCACAAAAAGATGCAGTGCGCATCCTAAATTCCACTTCTAGCGTCTATCCACCGTCTTCTGTCTTCAGCTTATGTAGGAAATCATTAAGAAGGGTAATTTACAAGTATTTTGAATAATAAATATGATCTTATTCTTTTTCACTTGGTCTTGAATGATGTAAGAACTTTTAAAGTAAAACAAACCAACCTATACACAGTTTTATTGAATTATATTCATCATGTTATTTCTTTAATCTACTTTAAAATATAGATTCGTGTATTACGTAATCCAAAGAGAATGGGTTTAATTAAATCTCGTATGAATGGTGCACGAAATGCTAGTGGTGATATATTAGTATTTCTTGATGCACATATTGAAACATTGAATCATTGGCTGGAACCATTAATTGTTCAATTAATCAGTTTAAGGAAACAAAGCCGTCACCACCACCAACAACAACAACATGAAGAATCCCAATGGATAACAAGTGAAGGCACTTCAAAACCATTATGTAAGCTTTTCTTAGAAAATTATCTCTTATTACAAGTCAATGTATATATGGTAGTGGATACCCTGTATGATGTAACTAAACTTTGTACTAAACTTGAAAGGTCTGTTGGAGAAATTGGCTAAGATTCCAGTCGTTTACAATGTAAACGAGTGGATAAAAAGTTGATGATAAGATTTACCAGTAATATTGCTAATGAATAGTGTAAATGATTGAAATAGAGGAGATTGTTAGAAATATGAAAGTAAGATTGAGGATTTATAGAAATATTAGATGAATATTCCTGTCCACCCAAAACAAAATATTAAACCACATAATCCTGGAGAGACTGAAAGATGCTCTGCATTCAAAACTGCGACACGAACATACTGGATTCAGGAAGTACAATTCAGGTGCGGACCAAATTGCAACGCTACATGACATCATAGAACAGAGTATAGAATGGTAGTCAACCCCTCTACCGAACCTCAACTTCATCGACTTTGAAAAAACCTTTGACAGTGTCGATCGAGAAGTAATTTGGCAACTGCTTCAACACGACGGAATACCACAACCCTTTATCAGCCTCATTCAACAACTATATGAAGACACCACATGCCAAGTAATTCATAATGGGAAGCTCAGTGATGCTTTTGAAGTGAAGACAGGACTGAAACAAGGCTATCTATTATCACCCATAATATTCCTGATTGTGGTGGACTGGATCGTGCCAGGAATTGTGAGGAGCGAGAAGAGGGGGATAGCTGGACCAATGAAAAGACCCCAGAAAAAGATTTGGATTTTACCGATGACTTGTGTCTCATGCCGCACAAACTCTGTCTACAAACAAAATTCAACTAGTTCACAGAAGAGGCAGCAAAGACAGGACTTACTTCAGGTGAACGTAGAGAAGACAAAGGTGATGAAGATACCCAAACAACATCACAACCAACAACACCAAGCTCCAATCACCATCAACGAGACGAACTTAAAGGAAGTAGACTTTTTCATCTATCTAGACAGCACTGTTTCAACTAGAGGCGGCACAGGCACAGAAGAGGACGTCAAAGCAGCCACGATCGGAAAAGCAAGACAGGCGTTCATTAGCCTGAAACCAGTGTGGAGATCTTCTGCACTCAGTATGAAGCGTGAACAACATCCGGATTTTCAACACCTATTCAGTCAAGTCACTGCTTCTGAATGACTCACAGACTTGGAGCGTTACGAAAGGCATTTCCAACAAACTACAGACACTTATCAACAACTGCCTACACTGTCTCGTTACTGAAGGTCAGATGGCAAGAAAGAATGAGCAACAAGGAACTGTGGGAACGAATCAACCAACAACCTATCGCTGAACAAATATGCAGTGTAAGGAAGTGGAGATGGATTGGATTGGGCACACACTGAGAAGACGGACTGGGGACATCATGCACCAGGCCAGTTGGTGGAAATAGAACGCAGATGGGAGACGGTGAGTTGGGTGTCGGATGTGAGGACTAGATGGAGGAGATTGTGTGAGGAAGAAATGAAAGCTTGTGGTCAGTCGTAGAGGCAGTTTCAAAAGATTGTAGAGAAGAGAGTTCACTGGAGGTGTGCTTTTGAAGCCCTATATTCCATTAGTAACCCAAGGGACAAATAATAATAATTCCTGAAATGGAAGGTTCATAAGTCGACAGAGACAAGAACTAAGTAGAAATGAAAACCTGGTTGTCATAGATTATGTAACTGCAAAAGTGCTTTGAATATTCAGCAAAATAGAATGACGTATCTATGGGCTTGTTGATATCCTATTGTGAGGACATTTTCAGGACAATATAAGTTTGGCAACTGTATTTTTGATGACACAGATTTGTTTTACGTCTCTTCATGGTGATTACTTCGATAAAACGTAATGCAGTTGAATGCTTTCACCTTTCAAATACTTTGAACGATCTCTATTCACTCTTGAATCTCCTCTTTCAAGAACATTCAATAATTCATACTATAAATAAATGATCTTCTTCTCAAACTTCAAGTGATCTCCTCAACTTTACTCTACATACTTGGTTAGTTCTATCAATAACTTCTTGTCGATTCACTGGTTCGAATCCTGTCACGAACCAGATTTTCATTTCAACTTCAGTCATTATCTAGGACCAATATAAGTCAGTCAAACCACAGCTATTTCAGATCGTCTTGATTGTATTGTGTTCTGTGAGCTGGGTTGTTGAATGGTAAAGCTTTCATCGTCCTTTTAGACGAAGTGAGCTATCAATATCTCTCTGTGAGTGATTTAGTAGCTTGCTGTCACTATATGATCTGTGATTGGCTGTTCCCTTCGATTGTTGTGTCACTGTCCGAAATTTCTACATCGCAACAACCAAAGAAGATAAACCGAATATCATTTACAAAGTCAACTACAATAACTGTAGTCAACATCACATTGCAAAAAGTGGTCACCCTCTTCAACTTCCTCATTTACATGAACACCAATTCGGGCTACTAAACATCACACATGACATTTCATCACTCAATTCAATCAACTTGGATAACAAGTATGCACATGAATTGAGTTTTGACAATGAAGAGAGCTTAGACAGAGGAAACACAAAGAATATGAGAGAATTTTTAGAAACTTAGCATTCAGGTCAGTCAATCAGTAATCACCAGATGTATAGATATGCACCCAATCTATAAACCAGTAAGCAAAACGATAAATGATGGAAGGGTGCAGAGATCAAGCAGAGGAACAGTCAGGTAACAAGAAAATCTATGCAGTCAGTCAACAATACAGCAATCGATGGGAACAGCCAATCACAGACCACATCGTCAGAGTAAGCTACTAAATCACTCACGGAGAGATATTGACAGCTCACTTCATACTGAAGTTACTGATGATGACGTCCTCTAGAAGAAAGATTGTGAAGTCTCGATGATTAAACAACCCAGCTCAGAGGACACAATACAACGAAGACCATCCACCTGAGCTACCAATATTCTCGTTTATATCAGATCGTCAAATGGATAATTAGCATGATACTCCACCTCTCGAATTCAGGTTGAGTAGTCAGTGTGATTAAAATCAAATGGTAGTAACACAACTTCAATTCACAGGACAGCCGAATATCTTGGTCTCTTAGTTTAGTTGACAGAACACCAAGCTGTCATCTAGAGTTCTCTGGTTCAAATTCTGTCATAATTCACATTTTTATTCCCCTTTTAATGATAAAAGAATGTTAATTTCTCATAGTATATACATTTTGGTCTATTTTTCTCAAGTTATCAGTACTTGACAAGGATCCTTAAAATCAGCTCATATTACCCTGTTACATCTGTCGTTCTTGTTCTCTTTAGGTTTATAAACCTATATGCCTTGAGATTCAAAGCTAAGTAGCACAACTTCTAAGCGTCTTGTTTTCTTAATAGATGTTAGAAGGTGATTAGCTTACTGGTTTATAGCAAACTTCACTATACTTTTCATCTGAATTAGTTATCACCTGTACAAAAATGGATAGTCAAGGTGGTATAGACATATTGGTGAAAGGAGTAGTATATATAAAATGACTAGAAGAGTAAAATCATATCATAAGCTGAATGTAGTTAGACATATTCTACCATAGAAGTGTTCATTAAAAGCTGAACTTACTTGATATGATTCTTGCTAGCGTCTAGAATTTACTGACCTTAAGTAATTGGTGATTTAATGTCAGTTTGAAGTAAAAATCATAACAACATTTTTTGTATTTTTCTTTCAACAAGACGAAGATATAATAATCTTGAAACTAAAATATATTTCACAGTTAAACATTGTTTATAAATGACTAGAACCTTCAGAAGTTCATAGAACTCTAGGTGAATAGAATAATCCACTTACAAACGGTTTACTAATTTCTCTGCCCACTTTCACACTTCTCACAGATGAGGAGTTTTACAGTTGCTCAACTGTGGGATCAACAGGATTTCTTTTATGCATCAACCATCAAGGCATGATATGTGACACAAAAGTGTAATGAGCCAGCGAAGTATACTACTACTACTACCACTCACACTACTACTGAACGACTTGAGTAGTTACAGATTACTGAAGCTGATCCGTAGATTTTACGAGGCCAGCAGATCAGATTAATTTAAACACCGTATGGTCGTTTTGCTCATTTGAGATCTAGTTCATTTGCAATGTGGTGTGCCCGAACAAATTCAGCTTAGAGAGCCGAGTTGGTTCAGATCACCTGAACCTGCCTAGCTTACTTGGGTGGAACGGTATGCCTTAATTAGGATGATCGTTTTCTGGAAATTACTCAGGTATGAGAAGAATCAACATAGACGGTTAAATCATAAATCATTAGCAAAATGGCCATCCTATTTTACACATACCAGTCCAGGCAAGTCAGTTAATCATACTCAGATGATCTAAATAACTCAGCTTTATAAGCTGAATTCTTTCTGGCAGTCCTCTGAAGAGCTCAACTTTAAAAGAGCTAAACAGCCATCTAATGTTTATAGCACTTTGATCTAGCTGACGAAATCTGCACACCAGTCTGAATTATTTCTCACTACTCAATTTATTGAGTAGTATATTTTGACAGAATAACAGAAGCTGACTGTGTACAAGACATAACCAGATACTTGAATAATTAGATTAAAATTCAGTCAAAGATGATTCACCTGTCGTCAGACAGAAGACAAATGAAGAAGATTTATTAAGAAATGACTGCCTAATGAACGCTATAGTCGAATGAAAAATGAACTCATAAAGGAATACGTAGCTGAAGTCAAATCAGTAAAATAAAAGAAGTTAAAACATATTTATCAAGATGATGAGAGAATGATTCGTTTCTGTTCTAGGCTATATCATTTACTCATTTGTTCCTTGGGTTACTAATGGAATATAGGGCTTCAATAGCACACCTCCAGTGAACTCTCCTCTCTACAATATTTTGAAACTGCCTCTAAGACTGGCCACAAGCTTTCATTTCTTCCTCACACAATCTCCTCCATCTAGTCCTCACATCCGACACCCAACTCACCGTCTCCCATCTGCG